GACGGAGGGAAGAGAGAACGAGCAGACGGAGGAGAACTTCGAGGAAAATGAATTCATCTCTAGTGAGCCGCCCTCGAGTTGCGCCAGTGGGCAAATCAACAGAGAAGAGCGTGCAGAAGGGGAGGAGGAAGAGGACAGTGATGCAGACGCGAGTGAAGGTAGAAGAGCATCAGAGAACTCGATGATATACCTCTACGCTAGACCGAATAATGCCAATAATAGGTCAGTTAGCCCTTGCCGCGCGTGCGGTACCTACTATCAGCAAGCAATTGGGAGCATGCAAAAGCTCAAACCCAGTAAGTGGGTCTTCTTTCAAACGAGGTGGCCACCGATCCTAGCGCCGCAGCAAGTAATAGACTTAGAGACGAATTACCCAGCTCACATTCCTTCCTGGAGAGGTTCAACTCCGCGACTCGTTAAGGATGTTGTAATTTTCTGTCGCCAACATCCCAAGTTGGATTGTTTGGTTCTGCTGGACCCACTAGTAAGTAAACATTTTGCGAAAATTCTTTGTTTCCTTAAATAAACTTAATGTGTTACGGACATGTATAGTGGCTTAACCTAGTCAATTTTTGAATGCATATGCTACTGGTGGGGGAGGAATCGGATTGTATAAACAGGATTAAAAATTTAATTATTGGAATATTTAACAGATGGCCATGAATACGAGCTGTGATCTGTGAGGCACAAGCATGCTAAATTATATTGATTAGAAAGTATTTCATACGTGGAAGTATAATTCCTGTCACCATCTACTTTCCTCATGCACCACCTCCGGCTATTTCATATTGAACATGTGTAAGGCGTTAGCTAATTCATTTATAACTCTACTAACTTTTATCTCCGTTACGGTGCCGGTGATTCTGTTGATAACAAGATTCCTATGATCTCCCCGACCTTCGCCCCTTGCAGGCTCTCTCGCCCTGGTCGCCTGTGCTTAACGCACTCTGTCCTCTCCCAGTCGATCCCTCTTCCCCCTCGCCCCACCATCTTTCCACTGCAACGACGTGCAGCCAGCGCTGGACCAGTTTGCTATGGCT